CCCCCCTATAGCTGAACTGCCACAAAGTTGGAGAATAAGTTTTCATTCCCATGCACAATCCTCACAAACTTTTAAGTTTACAGCCATCCATCTGGAAACTCACACCCTTAGTTAGGGGGCTAATACCTTAAAGATCAGAATTCTTTACCTGGTCCCTGTACCCCTAAGCACAGGCTTCCTTAGAAAGGGGGGGGAGGGAAAAAGAGGCATTTCTGTGAAGGAATTTGGATTCAATAATTTAATTTCTATATAGTGACAGCAATGGGAGTACACAAGATCTTTTGTATTAATTAAAAGAAAAAAGATGAAAATCAGAAGCAACAAATGAAGACCATACTGCTCATGATATATCAGCCACATGGTCAGAAAACCCATTTCTAAAGAACAGTTGCTGGTGTCATGGAGTTTTATTGCATTCAACAGGGGAAAGAAGGTTGGAATGAAAAGAATCCATCAGGCTCCAGACAGAAAGGTATCATAGGGGCTCCAATCCTTAAGTGGGGACTCTTCTTGTTACTTTCTTTGGAGCACAAGGTGGAGCGCATGACTTCTTGTGAGACAAATCAGTTCAACCAGATACAGAGCAAAGAATCTTTGTATCCCCATAGGCCAGTTGCTGGTGCCCATCTTTGTGTTTAAAAAAAAAAATGTAGAAGCCTCAAGGGGTACGGAGGATAGCAAGAATGGCTGCTTTAGCCCCAAAGGCATTGGCGGGAGGGGAGGACGCTATCTGGGCTCATGATGGTCTTCTACATTCTGAGAATATCACGCACCAACTCGACTATCTTTGGAGGGGGGCCGGGTGATTGAGTTATGGCTCTGACTCCTCTCTGGGGGTGGAGAGTGAAGATGACACAGAAGGCCATCTGTCCCCTGGGAAACACAGTAGCAGTATAAGACGGGACAGAAGAGAACAGAATAATAAATCCAACTGGGAAAAGGGTTTGAGAATGGCTGAGGGAAGGAAGTATGCTAGGCACACACCTCCAGAGAAGGTTCCCGTAATTGAGACCTCCGTCCTCTTGAAACGGCCAGGGTTGACCCAGGTAGAAATAGTCCCTTCTCCTGGGAATAAAACCTCAGGGATGGCTAGCCATGAAGAAGGGAAATTTAACATGCAGAATCAACCTTATACCCCTGGCCCATCCTCCCAGCCTCCAGAACTGGCCACACCCCCACCGAAGGGTTCCAGTGCCAGGAGGGGTGTGAGATCCTGGGGAAGAGCAGCAAAAGTCAAACACCTTCCACCTAGGCTTGAACACTTTGGCCATCCATCTCTGGGCTCCTGTACCCACAAGTACAGGGGTGGAGGTGGAAGTGGGGTGAGGGAAAAGATTGGAGAATAGTCAATCCTTGACAGAGACCTTCTCCAGTTTCCTGCATAATCACAAGAGTCCTCTTAGGTCCCACCTGCATGAGGTGCCAGCCTGCTGACCACTCTCCACCCCACTAGTGTGTGTAAAACTGGCCATATCCCATCATATGTGTGCGTTCCTGCACCCATTATCTGTAGTCATGGAAGTCTTCCATCGCAGTGCCTACCAGAAGGAAGCATTCCATAGTGAGTTCTATAAAGTTATCAGCAAAATTCAGATACTCTTAGTTCATCCCACACAGCAAAGTGCATCCAGAGTAGTTGCTTGAGCCAGGTCCATCTGTCCAGTCATGTCCTGAAGATGGCAAACAACCCCCTTCCCCCAGCTCCTCCTATATTATAGAAACAACAGGACATTTTACAAAGATCAAGGCACTTGGGAGAGAGTCAACAGTTACACTCTAATGAAGCAAGCAGACTTCTTGAAGGAGAGGAAGGAAAACTGGACAAAGGGGAGAAAGGATGATGTATTTCTGAGGGCCACGAAAATCCTACTCAACAAAATGGAGTTATCTGGATGAAAGGAGCCTGTAGCCTGAACTTAGCAAAGAGGAAGAGAAGAAGTAGTAGCCAGAATATCCACAATTCCCCCAAGCCTCTCAGAACCCCACCACCTTGAACATAAAGTAGCAGTCACCATGGAGTGAGTCTCAGGCAAAGATGTTGGTAATAAAATCCAGGAATCGCTTAGCATACTGCTCAGGATGGACAGTAGATATCTCTGCCCCAGCCTGTGAGAAGAGATATGAAACATCGTGTCAGTTCACCCCATCACTCTTTCCCATTTCCCATCCTCCATTCCACTCCACATTATTTCCATACCCAACCCTGCATCCTTTTGCCCCGCCATTGCTCTAGCACAAGAGGTTCTCTTCCCAAAGAATAGTCAAGTCAAGACAGGAAAGGAAAGGCCCTGGGGAACCCTCACCCCGTGCTTGACAGTTTTGGCTGCATGAGCTGCTTTCTTCTTGGCATCATACTGTGTCAGGATATCAATGAGGCCCATGAAATACACCTCCTTCTGAGGGGCCCCTGGGGAGAGTAACCAGCAATGAAGAACAAGTACAGTCCCAATTTCCTCTCCCCAGGAACCAGTCAGATCTGTTCTGAAAAGCTAACTGGGCTCTCCACTCGCTACCCTGGTCTCCATCCCCCAAGGACCACCGTCCCCACCTCAAAATTTCCAGGATCTCTCTCACCCTCAGCACTCCGGATGGCGTAGACATCAATGAAGGATTCAAATTCTCCAGGTCCCAGGGGCCGATGGGAATGGATGTAGCCACCTATACCCTCAGGGGAGGTGCCATAGGAGCCCACCAGAGCTGGAGGTCCCGTCAGGCCACAGTCCCCATCCCCCTCTGACTCCTCCTCCCGCACAGGCCCCTCCTCCTCTGGTTCAGAGCCCCGAACAATGTCGTGGATGCCTAGCAGAAGGCTGTAGTCCATGATCTTCAGCTGCACGAGGAACTGAGACCCACCGACAAATCAGACACTCCAGGTCTCCCTCCCCATTCCCAGGTGCCACCCTTATACCCCCACCCTTGAATTTCTGAGGCCCTCCTGGGGAAAGGAAGTATAAAAATTGAGGGTTGGGAGTACACCATTGTCCTTGAGTACCAAAATGTCCTGGTTACCCTTTTTGTTCATTCCAGCCACCTCCTCCATGGGTAACCTCTAGGGGGTTTTCATGTCTTATACTCAACTCCCCGATATGCAGAGAACCCAAAGAATAAAGGGGAGGAGTTCCCTCATATTGTGAATGGAGAGACAACTGCCCCAAGGGAAGCAAAAAAAGGAAACAAAGCCATTTCCCACAGCACCCAATCATCACCTCCACATCTCTCTTTAGCTTGTCTAGAAATACTTTCTTCTCCTCTTCACCAATATAAACTTTCTGGTTCTTGTTAAGAAAGTCCATATCCTTAAGAGTGGGCAATTCTTTCACCTGAGAATAAGTAAAGGGACATCTTGGGAATCTATCCCTTCCCCCAAGGTCTTGGAGAACCCTGCTCTCTCTAGGGCTCTGTCTCTAACTCAGTGGGCTCTAAGAGAGAGCTCCTACAGCCCCTTTCTCATCTGACTCCACACTGGGATGCTGGCCCAGAGTCTGTTCTCACTTCCAGTGGCTTCCCCAGACTCACTCACTGCAGCTGTACCCCAAGTCACAGCTCACTACTTTCTGCTTATGGTTTTCATCGGGGCCTTCAATGCCAACTTTTCTTCTTCTTAAGCAAAAATAGCTGCTTGCCTAGAAGAGCCCAGAGTGGGAGGTGGAAGGTAAGCATTTTGCTTTTCAAGTCTGACATCCTCACGCATCCCCAAACCTTCCAAATGTAATAACCCATGCTAGTCACAAAGTAGCTGTTCCCACTGCCCCTTCCACACAGTCCCTGGATTGGTACAAGTTTACATCTTTCTTCTTGTCAGGGGTTTAAGATAAGAATAAATAGCTGGTAATCCCTGCCTCTTTATCCTAAGAAGATCCCTTTCATCTTTATCCCTCCCCTATCCCTCACCCTAAAATTACATCACCTTTTCCTTATCGGTGGCTTCCCGGGACACTAGAGAGCCCTGTTGAGAGAAATCCAAAGACCAAGTCAGCAGAAGTGGCTTAAAGAACAGTCAACATCTAGCGCCTAAGACAAGTACTCAAACCCATAGCCTTCTTTCCTTTAAAATGAATCATCCAGTGCCTTCCCGAGCCCTTTCCCACTCTCAGGCTATCAAGAGCCTCCCCCTCCACCCTAGCTATCCTCTCCTTACCTTGAGGTCATACTTCCTGTGCACAGGAAGACGGTGGCTAAACATGTTGCGCATCACAAGCATGTAGCTGTCTTCATTGTCCACGCTAACTCGGTACATCCCCAGGAACTGGGGCAGCAGCGTGTTGCCATGGCACTTCACAATGTACTGGGGCAGAAGGGAGGAAGGAATCGGGGGAGGCTGAGCAGCAGATACACAAACAGCCCAGGGATGGACATTCAAACACTACCACTCTTGAGTGGGCAGAAAACTTCAAGTAGAGAGACTACAAGAAGGTCAAAAATGGCGGGAGCTTTCTAAAGATGCCCTTGGTTATCCCTGCAGTTTCTGAATCCTCATCTCCTCTGATGAATTCATTTGCATACTGGCTCAATTTTAAAGTGCCTTCTCTCATTTCATAGTTATCATTCTTTGAGATGAGGAATGTAGGTGTTATTATCCTTATTTTAGACCCTCTTTATATGCAGATGGTCACAGAGCCAGGATTAGAAATTACATATGTTTATCAACGAACTGATTTTATCTAGACCAATGTTTCTTGGTGGGCTAGATTCCCCTAGTAAAAATGTTTGCATGATGGCCTATAATTTGGATTCTTACATAATTATTCCTCTTTCAATGCTACCATCTCTCTCTCCTTCAGTATTGCTGCCTATTTCTCTTCATAGCCAACCTGCTCAGAAAAGTAGTCAGCAATTAATCCACCTCCGATCTCTTATTCACACCTCAAACCAGTGAAATCAGATTTAGACCCTCATTTCTCCTCTGAAATCTCTCTAATCCTCCCTCCCCAAATCCCTCAGTTGCCAAATCCAATGAGTATCTAGTCATTGTCATATGTCAACTGAACACTTGATACTACTGACCAGTCTCCTCTCCTTAAAGCTCTCTTCACCCTCAGCTCTCATTAGACCACTCTTCTGATTCCCCTCCTCTCTGTCCTCAAACCCTGTATGGAATGAAGTAGGGCATAAATAATGAAAAGCATCCATTGACTCTTAAGTCTCCTTTAAGGGCTCTTTTCTCTAGTTGCTCCTTAAGGTTTTGTCCTCAACCTTCTTTTCATTTTACTCCACACTTCCCTTCAATAATCTTAACTATTTTTTTTCTTTTTCTTTTTTTAAAGAAATTTTATTGGGGAACAGTGTTTTTTTCCAGGACCCATCAGCTCCAGGTCAAGTAGCTGTCCTCAATATAGTTGTGGAGGGCACAGCTCCTTGGCCCATGTGGGAATTGAACCGGCAACGCTGGTGCTATGAGTCCTTACTCCAACCACCTGAGCCAACCAGCTGCCTCAAAAATCTTATCTATACTTATGGCTTTAATTACTACCTCTTCACCTATAACTCTCAAATCTAGACTCCTACTCTAATTGTCTTTCCTGATCTCCATTCCCCAACCACTTACTGGACATTGATATCAATATGAACTGCAGAAACCCCAAACTGAAAATGTCTAAACCAGAAATGTCTTCCTCCAAAAACCTGTTTCTTTTTCTGCTTCCCAACTGTTGGTGAATGGGCCCCCAGTTATCCCTAACCAAGAATTCAGAGGCACCTTTGCCTTAATTCCCACAATTCTCCTAGGTCTTCCTTTCCATCTCCATTGCTACTGCTCCTCCAGGCCCTGTCATTTCTCACCTAGACTATTACAAGTACCTTCTAACTGGTATCTCCACTCCCAATATCCCCTCATCCTCCAGTCCATTCTCTAAAATGCTGTCTCAGGGATATTTCTAAATAACATACATATCACTCCCTTGCAAATCATCTTCAGGATAAAGTCCAAACTCTTTGTGTTGCTTATAAAACCCTTCACAATCTGGCATCTGCCTAACTATTTTTCTGTGATACCATATCTCAGTCACATTGAATTTCTTGCAGTTCCCTAACACCAAGTTCTCTTATGCTTCTGTGCCTTTACAAGTGCACTTTTTCTTTGCCTAGGATGCTCTCTTCCACATTGTCCAATGGTTAGTCCCTACCAGCTTTTCAAGAATCAACTCCTATGATATTCCCTCTAAAAAACTCTCTTTGAGCTTCCCAAGTGTACCTCCTCCCCCTAGTGAGTTGGGATGCTCTTCCTCGGCACCCCCAGAACATTCTGTATCTACTTCTACTATTGCACACATTTTGCCATGTGCTAAGGCTAGCTTACTGGCTTCTGCCATTAGATCAAGAGATAGATCCTCAAGGGCCACGACCATTTCATTCATTTCTTTCTCCACTGCCTAACACAGGTCCTAGTAATAACAGACATTCAATTATTTATTGGATAAACCAAAGACGGTCTTTCATTTATTCCTTGCTCATTGATTTAAGTGAGATTTTTCTTCAGTAGAAAGACATTCAGGCAGTGTTTTTATCACCAAAATATTCCAGAAGCTCCCTGTACCAGGTTAATCTAATCAGANTAAGAGCCAAACCAGTCCCTTCTGCTGAAGTCTGTTTGGAATGCAAACTAAGTGGCAGCAGCCCCTGCAATAACAAAGTTCTCACTGTCACCTTTTAAACCCAGCACAGGAAGTGCAAGCCCCTCAGCAACCTAGTCTGCATTTAGGGAGGGGTGGGGCTCTGCTGGAGGAGTCTGATGTTTCCCCTGAGTCTGGCCACGTTCAGCACCTACACCACCTCCAAATGCAGCTCAAATAGAAAGAGGGGCCATGAGTATGACCTCAATTCCTTTACTGATCCCAAGGGGAGCGGCTCTCCGTTTGTCTCTATCATAGACCCCTCAAGGCCAGATGCACCTCGAGATTCAGAAAGTGAAACTGGAACCCTAGAGCCTCAGCTCATACTGTCTATCCAGGTAGAACACCCTCCACCCCTCATCAGAGGGAACCCAGGACCTAGGTGTCCTTAGCTCTAAGTCCTGCTGGCACAGAAAAGGGAGGCGGGGCCACAGTTTATGCTGGGTCTCTAGATTCCTCTGGGGCAACCCAGGCAGGACACGGGGACAGTCCCTCCCTCCAGGACTGGTGGGACTGGTGGAAGGGGCAGCAGGGAAGGGCAAGGGTCCCTGGGGGCATCCTCTGAGGCTGCTCCACCCCTCCCCCCACGACCTCCTGCAAGACCCGACCCGGAACCAACTCCCCACGTCTCCGTCTCGCGGAGCCCCTCGGAGCCCCACCACTGGGTGTGGGTGCATGTCGGCCCGATCGCAGTCCCCAAAACCCCCAAATGGAGGCCAAAGCTGGAGGATAACAGAAAGAGGATCCACCAGGCGTGGAATGGGTCCCCGGAGCCCCGCATGGAGGAAAGAGGCAGAGGAGGGGGCACAGGGGCAGCGGGAGAGCGCATGGGGGGGTGCAAGCGGGTCCGGGGGGGCGCGCGGTGGGTGTGGGGGCGCCGGGCTCACCTACCTCTCGTCAGCGCCGCCATTGCCGGTCACATGACTGAGGCTGTTGCTGGGATGACGGCCTGGGCCTTAGCAACAAGGGGGGGGAGACCCCTTGAAGGTGGGGGTGGCGTGCAAGGGGTGCAGACTGAGGGAAAGAGGAGGACTGTACCTCCTCCCCCTCCCAGGTGACAATGACCGTTTCCTTTGACCCCTTCTATCCAGAAGACCCTGCCCTTCCGCCCCAAAACAAAAATGGAGGCGCCCTCCCAGTCTTTGGAGGGAGGGAGTGGCGTCGTGGAACTCAGGGTAGGAGGTTAAATCCGTTAAGAGACGTTAAGAGACGCCACCTTTCTCGCTACCCATTCCCGGAGGAGCCCTCTCGCTTTTCTTTCCCAGCCAGCTGCTTGGCAGCTTCTAGCTAGTAAGGAGTGCCGGTCTAGGTAATAGATTGGGAGGAGGGGGCAATTTTTTTGTGATCCTTATGCTAGAAGGGCCATTGAGGAATAATATGGGATGAGGAGTCAGTGAAAAGAAAAGCATTGGATCTGAAAAATAAAACGCCAGGACTATTTCAATCCCCTCCCTCATCTCTTGCCTTTTCCTAGATTGTGACCCCCACAACCCGCTCCTAGATGGGTATTGGTAAGTGCCTCTCTGATTGTTTTCTTTCCACAACAGGGAAACTGAGGTTGGTGCAGAATGGGAAGTGAATGTTTTTCTTTTTAAGTGCCATGGGGGTGATGGGGGTGGTGTCAAGTCTATGGTTCAGATAGTTAAAAACTCTCAAAGGAAAAAAAAAAAAAAAGCTCTGCTCAGTTCTGCTTCCCACATCAGAGCAATCTCCGCCCCCAGTCCAACTCACTTCCCTGGGGCCACATCAAGCCAGGTTTTTCCACCAGCCAAGACTTCCTTGGCCAAGCAGTACTAGGTCTCCCAGACTGGCAACAACCTCTGCAATCCACTCCCTTTCTTCACTCCCCTTCTGAGCTGGAGGGTTGGTCACTTTTTTCTTCCCTTTCCCAGGACCCTGTTGTACTCTTCCTGCCTTCCAGGCAGAGGACATCTTTCCCAAGAAGCCTGGGGGAACACTGAATTCCTTCTCTTTTAGCTCCGGGCTGAGAGACTCACTGTCACCTTTACAGAGTTGGAGGTGTGCCCAAGCCCAGAACCAGGGGGAAGAGAGAAGGTCACATCATCTCAGTTCTCCCTGGCCCCCC